ACCAAAAAAAAAAAAAAAAAAAAAATTGCTGGGAATAAAAATAATTGATTAAGGGCTGGAGATTCAGTGGTTCCGCTGCCTGCCTTGCAAGTGCAAAGACCCGAGTTGGATCCCCGGTACCAAAAAAAAAGAAAAAAAATTGATTGAATTTCATGCCTAACACTGTGTTAGACTCTACAAATAGGCCCAGGGATTTAGCTCAGTGGCTCCACTGCCTGCCTTGCAAGCACAAGGACCCGAGTTCAATCCCGGTACCCAAAAAAAAGACTCTACAAACAAATACAGAATGAATTAAAAATATAAGAGGTCAGGGCCAGGGATTTAGCTCAGTGCTTCTGGTGCCTGCTTTGCAAGCGCGAGGACCTGAGTTTAATCCCTGGTACCAAAACAAACAAAAAATATATATATAAGAGGTCATATTAAAAATAATAATAATTTTTGTTCTTATGGGTTTTGTTTTTGTTTTATGCAGTGCTGGGGATTGAGTCTGGGGCTTCACATATACTAGGCAAAAGTACTCTACCCTTCTTACAGTTTTCTTTTTTCCTGGAAATGTTTTACCTCCATTGATGATTCTTTGTGAAGTTAAAAGTTAGTCGTGATGTAAAATAAGATGCATCCAAATTCTACTTTTATTATGTGTATGTCTGTTCATCCTGTAAGCCTTAATCTGCCTTAGGATGGTATTTTGAAGTTTTCTTTCATAAAACACTTTAAAAAAAACTTGTGGGTTAGAAGTATAGTTCAGTGGTAGAGCACATGCTTAGCATTTATAAGACCCTGGGTTTGATCCCCAGCACCAGGTAACTTATGACAGTGGTTATATTTCCCACCCTAATTTAGGAATACAGTTTGTTTGCAGTTTTACCATGGGGAGATAGGTATTTGTGTGTATGTGTATACAGTTAGAAATATATATAGATGTTATTCAATTTATGATACTTACATCCTGCTAAACCCATCATAAATTGAAAATACCATGAGTTGAAAATTCATGTAGTGTACCTAACCTGTCAAACATCAGAGCTTAACAACACAGGAGATCAGTTGTTTCTTGTGATCTCATGGCTGACTGGTATCTGTGGCTCACTGCCATTGTTTAGCATTGTGAAAGAATATTATACCAAATATTACTAGCTCAGGGAAAGATCAAAATCCAACATTTGAACTGTACTTTCCACTGATAGGATTGCTTTTGTGCCATTGTACAGTCAAAATATATTAAGTGAGACCATTACAAATCGGACTAAAAAAAAAAAAAAATAAGGGACTGCCTACATACACACATTAAATTTAAATAATTAGCACTGGGCGTGGTGATGCACACCTGTAATCCCAGCACTGAGGAGGCTGAGGCAAGGGCATCACTGTTAAGTTCTCAGGTTTGAGGCCAGCCTGGGCTAGATAGTGAGTTTAAGGCCAGCCTCGACTATATAGAGAGACCCTGTGTCCATAAATAAATAAATAAATAAATATAGTTTTTAAAAAAATTAAATACTTGGGACAGGGATTTATTAGCTCAGTGGTTCCACCATCTGCCCCAAAAGTGCAAGGACCTGAGTTCAATCCCTGGTAACAAAAAAAAAAATTTAAATGCTCAGTATTAGTGTCAGTTAAAGACTAAGTCAGTGTGAAAATGCTAAAGTACCTTAGTAGATCAGTGTCAAGAGATCTAGACTCTAAACAAAATGAAAATATTACCTGATGCACACATATGGGTCAATCTGTAAACCCACTGGTAAACAGAGCCATGAAAACATTTTAAAAATACAAAATTAAAATAACTTTTGTTACCAAGTTAGGAAAGAGTTTTTAAATGATGAGACTGTAGGCAAAGGTGAAATCCTGGCTCTTGGTCATGGCTAGTGTTGTATAAATTGCTATAAACATTTTTAAAAATAGCTTGTGGCTGGGCATGGTGGCACACACCTATAATCCCAGCACTTGGAAGGCTGAGGCAGGAGGATCACAGTGAGTTCAAGGCCAGCCAAAACTACATAGTGAGATCTTGTCTAAAAAAACAAGCCAGCATGGTGGCACACACTTGTAATCCCAGTACTTGGAAAGCTGAGGCAGGAGAATAACTGTGAATTTGCAGGTTTGAAGCCAGCCTGGGCTACATAGTGAGTTCAAGCTCAGCCTGAACTACATAGTGAGACCTTGTCTCAAAAAACCCAAAATCAAAAAAAAAAAAAAAGCTGGATGTATCTGTTAAGAAAAAAAAGAACCTTAAAATGGTCAGGTGTTGTGGTACACACCTGTTACCTTAGGCTTGGGAGACTGAGACAGAAGGTTCATGAGTTTAAGGCCAGCCTGGGCTACATAGTGTGACTCTGTCAAAAAGAGAAAACTTAAAATGGTCCTCTGATAGGAAATATTGCTAGAAATGGATCAAGCGGTCACGCACTGAGGTTTTGGTGCTAGGAAATTGGAGAAAGATGGTGAAACAAAACGTGGTTATTTTGTTGCCGTAGAGAAGCAAGTCCAGCAGTAGTAGAGCGCAAATTGTTGTTAAATATTCACTTATTCGTCTTTTTCCAGGAAAACCTGAAACTCTGAGGGGAAAAAAGTTTCTACCTTTTGATTGATTTTGTAATTCCATTTCTAAGTAATATTTTTTAAGGAAATAATCCTTAGCATAGAAAAAGCATTTTTGGGGCCGGGGATTTAGCTCAATGGTTCTGCTGCTTGCCTTGCAAGCACAAGGACCCGAGTTTGATCCCTGGTACCAAAAAAAAAACAAAAAAGAAAAAGCATTTTTTCCAGGGCCAGGGATTTAGCTCAGTGGTTCAGCCACCTGCCTCGAAAGCACAAGGTCCTGAGTTTGATCCCCAGTACCAAAAAAAAAAGCATTTTTTCCGGAGACATTCATTTTATGATTATGTAAAATACTGTATTTTAAATATTATAAATGGATATACTGGGTATCCATTAAATGAACCATGATAAAGCTACTTTGCCATAGAATGATAGGCAGCTGTTAAAAATTATTATAAAGACAGAGCATCGTGGCACATACCTGTAATCCCAGCACTTGAGAGGCCAAGGCAGGAGGATCATAGGTTCAAGGCCAGTCTGTAGTCATAGTGAGACCTTGTTTCAAAACAACAAAAAATGGGCCGGGGATTTAGCTCAGTGGTTCCAAAGCCTGCCTTGCAAGCACAAGGTCCCAAGTTCGATCTCTGGTACCAAAACAATAACAACAACAACAAAAAGAATTTGTGGAGACTTGGAATATAGCTCAATGGTAGAGTGCTTGCCTAGCATGTATGAGGTACTAGATTTGATCTCCAGTGCCACAAAAAAAAATAATAGGAATTTGGAGAAATATTTAGGCCACTCAGGTAGACAGATAAAGTTTAGAATGCTCAGTTAAGCCGGATGTGGTGGCTCATGCCTGTGATCCCAGCACTTGGGAGACTGAGGCAGAAGGATCACTGTGAGTTTGAGGCCAGCCTGGGCTACAGAATGAGTTCAAGGCTAGCCTGAACTACATAGAGCCTGTCTCAAAAAACCAAAAACTATGCCGGGGATTTAGCTCAGTGGTTCTACCACCTGCCTCGAAATCGCAAGGTCCAGAGTTCAATCCCCGGTACCCAAAACACCCAAAAAACAAAAAACCCAAAAATTCCCCAAAACAAAACAAAAAAAGCTCTAAAATACTCAGTTAAATTTGAATCTCTGATTTAAAAAACTGTTAATTAGTATAAATATCTCCCACACAATATTTGGAACATACTTATACTAAAAAATTTATCTCAAATTCAAAATAATGTTTTTTTAACTGGCAATAATTATGGCTACTTAAAACCATGAAAACAGCAAAACAAACTATTCACAGAGAAGTAAAAGGAAGGGAGCTCATCAAAATTGGACAGTGAGTGAATTTTCCTTTCACTTCTGTCCCCTCCCCAATTTTCAGTAAAGAGCATAAAACATTAAAATTTTATGTATAAAAGCTAATAGTGATTTCCTCTAGAATCTGTGAAGCCAATCTAGAAATTAGCAAAGACTGCTTATGTTTCAAATTCTTTAGACATTAATATCAAATTAGTTCATTTTCTATGGACATGTTTTTAAACCCCGTCATGATTTGTGTGTGATTTAGGTGCACAGATGAATAGTTCACTAATGCTTCAAGATGCAGTGAGCAGTAATCTAAGGAAGAGTGGCCTGAAAAAGCCTGTGGTTGCTTCTTCATTAAAAAGGCAGTGTAAGTTTCCTTTCCCTAGAATAGGCTACAATGATGGTAAGTTATCCCAAATTCAGAAGCAAAATAATCAAAGAAATGCTGCATGTTGTCTCCCAGAGTGCTGCTAACAAACACTAGCAGCATATGGGTTTATATGAGCCAAGGTCTTTCTTGTCCCACCAGTTTCAAATCATGCTTAAAAATAAGTTATATGTAAAATCATATAGTTGGAGAACAGATTAGTGTTTACCAGGAAGTCTTACAATGGAATTGTTTTGTGTCTTGTCTGTGGCAGTCATTCAGGTCTACATGTGATAAAGTTACATAGAACTGTGCATACCCACACCACACAGGAGTGCATGTAAAGCTGGTGAAATACAAGTAAGGTCCCTGGATGTGTCCACATCATTTTCCTAATTGTGATATTGTAATATAATTTTACAGAATTTAACTACTGGAGGAATCTGGGTGAAGGGTACAAATACAAGCTTTGCATTTCTTACAATTTTCTATGAACATACAATTATCTCAAAAAAATTTAAAACTATATTTTAAAAGTCTTAAGAGATCAGTAAAAACAAAAAACTAAATTATGTCTTTTTTGTTTTTGTAATGTTAGGAGTCAAACCCAGGGCCTTGTTCATGCTAGGCAAGTGTTCTACCATTGAACTACACCTGCTGCTCCTAAATTTTGTCTTTAAATCAAAAATATATGCTGGGGATTTAGCTCAGTGGTTCTGGCGCCTGCCGCACAAGTGCAAGGTCCTGAGTTCGATCCCTGGTACCAAAAAAAAAACAAAAAAAACGTACCCCCCAAGATGGGGCTACCTAGTATCTACAAGACCTAGGTTAGATTCTCACCAGTATAAAAACTAAAATTAATAACATGTTTTGGCAGCTGGTGTCTTACAAGATATGTTTCTTTTATTGCTCATTACTCACAGTTGAAATGGAGATTCAAAGTTTAAAAAAATGTATACCACAGTTATGCAATGAAAAATACCTGTTGAGAAGTCAGGCACAGGTGGTACACATCTGTAATCCCAGTTACTTGGGAGGCTGAAGCAGGAGAATCACAAGTTCAAGGCCCGCCCGGGCAACTTAGTGAGACCTTGTCTCAAAGTAAACTTTAAAAATGCTGAGGAAGGCAGAGGATTTAGCTGAGTGGTTCTGTGGCCTGCCTTGCAAGCACAAGGTCCCGAGTTCGCTGCCCGGTACCCCCCCCCCGCAAAAAAAAAGTTTAAGAAGACAACCATAGTCTATTCTCCAAAGTCAGTGAAGCTTGAATTTTTTTTTTTTTTTTTTTTGTACCAGGGATTGAACTCGGGTCCTTGGGCTTGCGCAGCAGGTGGCGGAACCACTGAGCTAAACCCCCAGCCCCAGAATCAACATTTTCTTAGCTCTCCATATAAATTGTATAAAAATAGCTAAGTGTGGTGCACAAGCTTATAATCCCAGTACTGTGAAAGACTGAGGCAGGAGGATCACAAGTTTGAGCACAGCCTGGGTACCTTAATAAGACGCTTTCTCAAAATAAAAAATAAAAAAGGGATGGGTATGTAGCTCAGTGCAAAGCCCTGGTTTTGATCCCCAGTACCATGTCAACCCCATAGTTCAGTTTAATATTGGCAGTACTTTTTGAGTACTTGCTGTGATATACTTGCTGGCTGATTAAAAAGTAGACATTTGGCATGGTGGCACATGCCTATAATCTCAGCACTCAGGAGGCTGAGGCAGGGGTATTGCTGTGAGTTTGAGGCCAGCCTGGGCTAAATAGTAAGTCCAAGGCCAGTTTGAACTACATAGTCAGATCTTGTCTCAAAAAAACAAAAACAAACAAAAAAACAACAACCACAAATGGTAGACATCATCCCTGTCCTCATACCCTAGTTTTGATGACAAGTCCAATGCATACTATATAATATAAGACTGAATACTAATTATGTAGCTGGTCCATTAAAAAGTTATACATTCTAGTTTTATATATATATATATATATATATATTTATTTATTTATTTTTTTTGGTACCGGGATCAAACTCGGGTCCTTGTGGTTGCGAGGCAGGTGGCAGAACCTCTGAGCTAAATCCCTGGCCCTAGGTATATATTTTTGAAAGGTCAGGAAATAAACATATTGGCAGTATATAAGGTAGAAGATTTTTTTAACATTTTCATCACTTTCTTTGGTTCGAAGAATTTTGGATTGTCTACAATCTACATTATTATACACATTTACATATGTTAATTTGAGTTTCATATGAATAGTAGTTATGGCATGTGAAGATATTTTACTTCTTCAGACATGTGAGGATATTTTAGGAGAAAAATAGACTAGAATGGTAGCTCTGTAGAAGGCTCATGAGTTTGGAGGCGGCCCAGACCTAGAGCCCTGGGTTAGAGAAGAGGGACTTGAGATGTGGACCCTGGTCACTCAGCGGGGTGCAGTCCTCCACAGCCTTTAACTCCCAACTATGCACTCTGGCTCCATTAAATTCTACCACTTGTTACTGTATTTCCCATTTACTACAAGATTTCACCTTTTCGGGCCGGGGATTTAGCTCAGTGGTTCCGGCACCTGCCTCGAAAGCGCAAGGTCCCGAGTTTGATCCCCGGTACCAAAAAAAAAAAAAAAGATTTCATCTTTTCATTTTTATTTGATAATGAATTGTCATTCCTTTTATATTTCTGAGCACAGAATTTTAGAGTTATATGTAAAGGTTTCATAGCAACCCGTACTGAGTACATTAGTTGTCTCTGTGCTCAACCTCGATAGGAGACAAATTAGCTTCATTATTGAGAGGGTTTGGGGCTTACGGCTACATTTCATCAGGAAAATGACTAATTTATAGATCTCTAAAATTGTCATTATATAAGGTTGTTCTTCTACATAGTTTACTGTTTAAAGGCTGACTTTTAAGTTAATCTTAAATATATTAGTCTCTAAAAGGTTTCATTTCTGTTTATTTATTCCCATACTGAGGATTGAACCCAGCACCTTCACACTTGAGTGCCATCTCCACCCCTTATTTTTTATTTTGAGACAGTCTTTGTAAGTTACTAAGTTATCCCATGTGGGCTCCAATTTAACAGTCCTCCTGCCTCAGCCTACCAGAATGTCATTTATTTTTCTAAATGGATTCTTTTTTTTTTTTTAAGAAATGTCTGTATTGAACTACCACACTCTACTCCATAAATATATAATTATTATGTGTCAATTAAAAAGAAAAAACAGTCTAAAGAATCTAATTCACTTAGTTTATCTACTTTCTTTGTTTATTTTTGTTTCTTTGTTGTATTTTTTGAGACAGGGTCACTTTAGGTTGACATTGAACTCACTATGTAACCCAGGCTGATCTCAAACTGGTAGTGATCCTCCTGCTGCAGCCTCCAAAATGCTGGGATTACAGGAGTATACCAACACACCCGGCCTATCTACTGTCTTTGGATTTCAGTTTCATATTCTCTTTTTACTTTATACTTTAATTTTTTTCAAACTTCAGCTGTTTATTCTGAAAAAAAAAAAAAGAAAGTTACTGAAGAGATGTTTTTCCCTTCTAGCCTGTGGTCAGCTGTTAGACGAGGCACAAGTGACTTTATCCTTCCAAGATTGGCTGGCCAGTGTCACTGAGCGAATCCATCAAACCATGCACTATCAGTTTGATGGTAAGTGTTGATCTTCCAACTAGGAAGATTTTCCTGCTGAAAATAGAAAAAGTTAATTCTGCTCCAGTTCTATGTTGGTAAGAAAAATTTTTAAATAAATAAATAAAGGGACTTCAGTCCAGAGAGCAGGAAACTAGAAAGTAGAAATGAAAATTGATAAAAAATAATAATCATAAGTATAGCATTACTTTAAAGGATCAGCAAAATGAATTTAAAGATAGAAGAGGGAAAAAAAAGCAAATAATAAGCAAAGATAGATTGCCTTAACTTTATGTGTTCAATTCTATTTGTGTGATTGGTGAAAGGGCTTTAGAAGATTGTTGTAACTTCAAACTTACAATTGCAATAAGGAGGAGAAGAAGCTAGGAGAAAGTATAAACATGTGAGACTAAGACAGCTGTATAAATTATAGAGACATGCTAAGAAGCCCAGAGAATGCAGGCTAGATTCGATATGATTTGTTGTAGCTTCGTGGATCCTCAGAAATATCAAAGGAGGGTCATCAGCTGATCTTTGCCCATTGCTTTAAAACCATAATGGTACATACTCGTCAGAGGGCTGAGGCAGGAAGATCATGGATTCAAGCCCAGCCTGGGCAAGTTAGTGACTTAGGAGGATCGTGTCCCCCCAACAAAAATAAAAGAAAGGGCTGGAGATACAGCTCACTGCAAAGGCCCTAAGTTCAGTCCTCCAGTATTACAAAAATTAAAAGATTAAATAATTAATTAAAAATAAAAACACCCCTGCCAGGCATGGAGGTGCACCCTTGTAACCCCCACACTCTGGGAGGCTGAGGCAGTTGGATCACAAGGACAAAGCCAGAAGGGCACTTTAGCCAGACTGTAGATACTCAGTTGGAAGAGGCAAGTTTTAAAGGATTAGAACAGTTCTGACTTCCCTGTAAGGAGAGGGATAAGCATTAATGGAGGTATTGAAACACATGTTCAGATACTAATTCAGAAGAGAGAAAACTTCAGAAATTACTTTTTAGAAAAACAAGCTAAGTAGGGCAAATCAAATTTTGTTTGTTTGTGAGACTAAGGATTGAACCCAGGACCTTCACACTGAGCTATATCCCCAGACCTGTTCTTATTTATTCTCAGACAGGGTTTCAGATGCTAAGTCACTAAGTTGCCTAAGCTGGGTTCAAACTTTCATTCCTCCTGCCTTAGCCTCCCAGAGTACTAGGATTACAAGCCTGAGCCACCATGCCTGGATAGAGTTTTTTGCTTTGGAAATTTTGTTGGTTTGTTTAACATAATGTAATAAACACCTATTTAACTCTCCTTCCAAATAGAACATTGCCAGTACTGTAGCCTGTACCCTTGCAGTCCTCCTCCATCTCATTCTTCAGTTAACCCCCTCATATCTTTACAGCTGTCACCATCACTGTTGTCCCGGTCACCATCAGCTCCCTCCTGGACCATGACTCTCTTTTGTTTTGTTTTGTTTTATTCTTAAGTTCTTTTATTGGTACATATTAGGTATACAATACGTTTACATTTATCATTGGGTGTTTGTAACCGTACATGATGTATCTTGATTCTTATTTTTTCCCCATTACCTGTGCGTCCTTCACCCGCTCCACCCTTCCCTATTTACATAGACTTCATTTCCATTTTTTTTTCTTTTCTCATAATTTTTCCTTTCCCTTCTTTCCTTTCCTCTTCCCCTCCCTTCACCCCTACCTCTTTGGATCTTTTTTCCTATTTCAAATTATCAATTATTCATTTTAATCATTTTAACCTTTATTTACACGTTCAGTTTCTTACACTAGAGAAACTATTTGGTATTTACGCATGTGTGTCCTATTTATTTCACTTAGGAGTATGGCCTCGATATGCATCCATTTAGCTATAAATGACTCTAGTTTCTTGTTCTTTATGGCTGAGTAGTACTCCATTTTATTAAAAAAAAATCCACATCTTCTTTATCCAGTCTCCATTTGATGGGCAATTGGGCTGTTTCCAAGCTTTAGCTATTACAAACTGTGCTTCTATAAACATGGGTGCACATATATTGCTGTGGTATGATTCTTTTAATTCTTTTGGGAAGATACCCAGCAGGGGAATAGCTGGGTCAAATGGGACCTCTAGTCCTAGTTCTTTGAGATATTTCCATACTGATTTCCACATGACTCTGTTTTTGATGAGAGTTTTCTAAGGTTAATTCTTTTTTTTTTGGTACCAGGGATCAAACTCAGGACCTTGCGCTTGTGAGGCAGGCGGCAGCACCACTGAGCTAAATCCCTGGCCCTCTAAGGTTAATTCTTAAACCTAAGCTCTAGCAGCACATCAGCTGAGCTCTGGTGAATTAACACTTCTTTGAGAGCTGTAATTGTTTCTTTATGTAACCATAATCTGATTTCAGAAGGAAAGATCTTAAAATGTCTATGTATGATAACTAAAGTACCGAGATATAGCAATAATTAAAAAATGATGAGTTTTGTTTTTCACATTTTACATTCAATGAAGGAGTCAAAACCAATAAGAATGAGAGGTTTTTCTGTAAAATTTTTGAAAACCTTTCACTTTTGTGTTATATATTTACTTATGGATTGACTCTTGTTTCAGAAAGTCTGTGAACTTTGTCTTTAAGAGTCGTTTTTTTTTTTTTTTGGTACCAGAGATTGAACTCGGGTCCTTGCGCTTGCAAGGCAGGCAGTGGAACCACTGAGCTACATCCCTGGCCCTAAGAGTCTTTATTAAGAGCCAGGGATGTAGCTCAGTGGTGCTGTGCCTGTTGGCAAACACAAGGTCCTGAGTTTGATTCCCAGTACCAGGAAAAAAAAAAGTCTTTTTTAGCTGAGCATGAGTGGCCCATGCCTGTAATGCCAGTTATGCAGGAGTCTGAGGTAGAAAGATCCAAAGTTTGAAGCCAGTCTGGGGAACTTCAGTCCTGTCTGAAATGAAATAAAAAGGTCTGGTGAGGTAGCTCAGAGATAAACTATTTGCTTAGCATGCAGTTCAAAAGTCTTTCTGTAGAAGTTCTTTCAGGTGCACCTGGACAGGTCATAATTCTGTTTGTCCCTTGATTCTAGGTGTTTTCATTCCACTGTTAGCCCCTTAAGGCAGAATTTTTAAGGAAAATTCTGAACTTATCTTGTCCTCTCCCTAGAACTCCCTTTTAGCTGACTTTGTTAACCCCAGTTCTTATAAGAGGTTTTAAGTATTTTCAAATATTTTTATCTGCCTTGAGTTCATATCTGAGAGGAGTATTGATGTTTACTGGATAAGTAGGGTCCTAATTTTACAGACCCTTGCTGGGCATGGTGGCACATGCCTGTAATCATAGCACTTGAGAGGTTAAGGAAGGAGGGTCCCTGCAAGTTCAAGGCCAGCCTGGGCTACATAGTGAGTTCAAGGCCAGCCTGAACTACATAGCAAAACCCTGTCTCAAAAAAAAGGTCATGTCCCAGAAGTAAAGGAGCCATATTGATAGGTGACCTGAGAGAGGCACAGGGTGAGAACCAAACCCAGGGGAGTGGTAGCACAGGGCTGACAGAGTGTGACACTAGCCCATGTGTGTCCCCCATGGCCCTGTGGAGCTGAGAGGCCATGGTGAGTCTCTTCTGGGCTCTGCTGCACCAGTGCTGAGAGCTCTGCTATACTGATTGAGACGTCTACTTTGCCTCCATCCACTGTGAGTTCCAGAAAAATCAGAGGCTCTTAGAAGATCCTGAGGCTTGGCAGAAGCAGCTGGAAAAGGGCAGGTCTTCCTCCACAGCAAATTAGAGGGGCTTATTTAGGATCCTCTCCTTTACTCTTGCACCCTGCCTGCAAGGAAAGAGGACAAAGATGCCTTCTGTGGACACTCCTCTCTCCAACCTCCACCTCCCAGATGCATTAAGAAGTCTCAGGTGAGCGATGGGAGGCGCTGGTGAGTGCAAAGGCAGAAATGACAGTAGCATTGGCACAGTCATTGACTTCTGCTTTCCAGCACCTGGCTGATGCTGGAGGTAGGTGAAGCAACCATTCTGGGCATCACCGCACTGGTGGTTAAGTGGATGTATGGTCGGGCAGTCTGCCTCTACAAGCCTCACTTGCCTGAGCCATTCAGGGAAAAGGAGCTGGGAAGAACTAAATTGGATGGGCTCCCCACAAAACCTGAGCAAGGACATCCCTTTGACACAGATACCTTCTGCCCGCCCTGGCCCAAGCCATTGGGCAGGAAGCGACAGGTGGACTGGAAGAAGTCACGAGTCTGTATGTCCCTGTAGGAAAAATTTTTTACTACTGGAACTGGGCAGCCATCCCTAGCAGAGTGCAGGCTCAGGCCAAGCAAGCTGCCATGGACATGTGTGCTGAGCTCTGGAGCTTCCTACGGGGCAAGCTGCCTCACAGGCTACTTCAGGACATACACTTGAGTGGCAGCCTCTATGATGACCTGCAGGTAGTGACAGCTGATCATATCCAACTCATTGTGCCCCTTGTGCTAGAGCAGAACCTGTGGTCTTGCATCCCTCTCTAGGACACTATCATGAATGTCTCTGGCTTCTTCCTGGTTCGTTGTGAGAACCTAGAGTACTTTCTTGTGGCAGCAGTCACTGGAACCTTGTGTAGTAGGGGGCTACTTCTCCCTAAGACAGTGGAAGACACATTTGAGAAGGTAATGGCTAGCTCCATCAATTGGCCAACCATAGGGCCCCTCTTGGACTATGTGATCCAACCAACACCTCCCCCAGCAGCCCTGACATTAGAAGTACAGTATGGGACAAACATCTCATCATTGACTTCTTGTCATCAGTGACCCTTGATGACACTGTCTTGGCCAGACCACATCGGCTAGCCCGATATGACAACCTGTGGTGGCTGAGAGGTCACACTTTCGGGCTTTGGACCAAGCAGACTTGGGCTGCCAATCTCTGTGCTTCAGGATTCTCAAAGCCACATGCAAGTCCACCCTAGCTCTGGGCCACCACACTGGCAGCCAGCTAACCAATGTCATCCTCCACTTGGCGCAGGAGGAGGCTGACGGGTCTCCAAACATTCTGACCAATCGTTTCCTGCAGGCCCTGAGGGGACTCATCTGCTACTTAGAGGCTGGAGTCCTGCCCAGTGCCCTAAACTGCGAGGTGAACTATTTGCAGAGCTCACCCCTGAGGAAATGGACGAATTGGCATACACCATTGCTCCTTGTCTTACTGGACCAATACAGCTGGAGGTGCTGCTATAGACCTAAGGCAGGTGAAGGCCAAAGCCGCTGTCTGTTGGTCAGTTCCAGGATTCTCTGTTAGAAACACATGGTTATAGGGCCAGGGATTTAGCTCAGTGGTGCCACTGCCTGCCTTGCAAACGCAAGGTCCTGAGTTTGATCTCCGGTACAAAAAAAAAAAAGAGAAACACATGGCTGCATAGTTAGTGCCTCATAGCACCCCTAGGTGCCTCCTGGTTCTTGCTGGTCATCATCCTGGTCACTTCATGCTAATTAGAATGACATCTCTTTGGTCCCCTATTTTCTGACCCAGCCCTTTCTGTTTTTGTTATCAAATACTTTGCTCTCTACTTCCTCCTTGGTGTAAGCTGATTTTTGTGAAATGAATTGAGAAGCTAGAGTGCTGGCTTGAGCTGTTGAGACCACTTGGTGTTTTGCATTTTACTTTATCTGCCCTACCCTGCCCTTTTAACCCCTTGCTATTCAGTGTCTCTTTTCCTCTCTTCTGTTTCATGCCTTTTGTTTTGCTCTTGTCCTGAGATCATAACTACCTAATCAGGATGTTCCCTTTTAGCCAAGTATCACAGAAGAGCTGTGATTACCGGTTTGCGAGCTGAATTCTGCAGAGTGAGCTCTGAGACAGTATTTAGGGTTTCTAGGGATGAGGCTGGTGGAAGAGTTGGTCTTTGACCCTAGTTCCTAGAAAACAAGCCTGTCTCCCCACCCCCTTAACCAACTATTTATAAATGCCAAGAACCCTTTTCCTGGGGACACTGTTATTGACTCACACAGGACAGACAGGATGCAGAGTTATTTGGAGTTTTTATTTATTAATGGCCATCAGTAAGTGCACAGAGGGACCAGGAGCTGGTTCCTAGGTCCTTGTAGAGAGCCTACATGCTGTCTGCAACTCATCTGTGGCTGCCAGTTAGAAAGGATGGCAGCTTCAAGGATAGCACCTCATGTGGATGTTGGTTTCATCTCTTGCCTTCTTTATTGCCAATAGGACAAGGCCTTGCAGGAACCCAGGCTTAGCAGTAGAGGCTGAAGGAGGAGGGGACAGCAGTTTCAGCTGGAAAATTCAGTCACCATGGTTTCTCCTCTGAAAGAGTTTGCCTTTCTAGAATGTTGGCTTAGAGCGAGAACAGGCCCAGCAGCCAGCTGTTCTTCCCCCCGTGTCTGCCACAGCATTGAGAGAAGGGTGTTAGCTGAGCTCTCCTGGTACCTACAGAGGCTGAAGGGCAGGTGAATGTGCACAGCCCTCTTTCCCCTCGTCCAGTCTCTCACCTGGGAAGACTGGTGCTACCCAGGAAGAAAGAGCACACAGATAACTCACAAGAGAAGGAGGTGGGTTCTCCCCACGTTCCTTCTTGGTTCCTGCTGCTAAAAACTGCAGTATTAGCTGGGGATTTAGCTCAGTGGTTTCGTCGCCTGCTGCGCAAGCGCAAGGACCCGAGTTCGATCCTCGGTACCAAAAAAAAAAAAGGTATACTAGTCTAAAAACTGCAGTATTTATGGCAATATAAATGTATTCTGAGGGTGGGGAGGAGTGTTTAGTACAAAAAAAATATTTATACTCCTTCAGCATTCATGGTCCTGACCCTTCAGGTGAGAGCATGTAGTTATTTTGCTTAGATACAAATGCAGATAGCAAGTGTATGAAGATAGTGAGTAGAAATGAATCAGATAGACTCATCTCCTCAATTCCACCCCACTCTTCTCATCTCATCTTATTTTATAGATCCATAACAAGGAAATTCTTTTCTGTCATGGTGTTTACAAAATGGAGGACTTGTAAAAAAAAAAATTGAAGACTTGTAAAGTTATCCTTATTGGAAGCCAAGGGTCAGATGTGTGGTTTATGACTGCAAGGGATCTAGAAGAAGGCTCTTGGGGTGTGGCGGCATATACCTGTAATCCCAAGGCAGGAGATCAGAAATTCAAGCCCACCCTGGACAACTTCATGACTTAGTGAGACCTTATCACAAAATGAAAAATAAATTCAAAGAGCCAGGGATGTCGTTCAATGCAAAGGCCCTGGGTTCAATCCTTAGTACCATATACACACAAAAATTAATGAATAAAAATGTAAAAGAAAGAAGCTTCAGGGCTATTTTAGTAATTACTGCTCCTTCATTCCTTTTCTTTCACCTTTTCACAATGACTCTCTTATTTCTGTAGGCAAACCTGAGCCACTGGTATTCCACATTCCTCAGTCCTTTTTTGATGCCCTGCAACAGAGAATATCCATAGGAAGTGCAAAAAAACGGCTCCCCAACTCCACCACAGGTATGGGGATTTTCCTCTAGAATAGAAATAGGTTTTTTGGAGGTACTGGGGATCAAACTCGGGACCTTCTGCTTTCGAGGCAGGTCATGGAATCACTGAGCTAAATCCCTGGTCCTAGAAATAGGTATTTTGAACTTAGAGAATTATGTTTGGAGAAAAAAATCTGTGTGGAACTTTCAGGGATAGGACTTCTAGTCACATGGACATGAAGCCTTCTATAGTGAGCTCTTAGAACAATGATCATACACTTCGAAGTCCCTACGCTTATTCCAGTGAGAATTAGTGAAAAAAATTAGAAAATATAAACTTGCTAAAAGAACAGTAAAGAGCAACGCAGGTGCCCACCAAGAAGTTTGATATTTTTAGGTGTGAACCAATTTCACAAATGCATTGAAGGGTCTAGTGATTATTTTTAGGTCAGTTTCTTGGAACCATATTACAGTGTATATCATAAACTAAAACTGCTGGGCATGGTGGTGCATACTTGTAATCCTAGCACTTGGGAGGCTAAGGCGGGAGGATTGTCATGAGTTTGAGGCCAGCCAGGGCTACCCAGTGAGTTCAAGGCCATCCTGAACTACATAGCGAGCCCCTGTCTCAAAAAAATAAAACAAAAAACCTAAAATTTTTTTCATGATTCTCAATTTTTGATGAAGGAAGATTATATCCTCAGAGTAATTATTAGGCTTGGAATACTTTATTTACTTTGAACCCGGGATCTGCCACTGAGCCACACTCCCTAGCCCCAACACTTTATTATATTAGTCTGGTATTTATTTTTTGGTTTTATGTAAAATCTTTCTTCTAGAGAGCTAGAGATCTCAAGATACTTGTTAGGTGTGCAATAAGGAAATAAGGAAGGAAAAAGATGAAAAAAAGGATTGTTCAGTGGCAGTATTTCAAATTGTTAATGTTAACGGTGACTTTCTTTTTTTCTTTCTGAGAGCAGTGGCCTCTTGAGGTTTAACTGTTTTTCAATTTGAGAGCAAGCTGTGAATCACTATATTTGGGGCCATAAAAGCCTTTGTGTTCACAGCTTATCTAACTTTGGAAGCAGTATTGAGTCTTTCTTCCAGTTTAAACTTCAGTTTAATTTTAACTCATCTCTTGCTGATTTTTGCAGGCCCTTTAGTGGAACTGTTTGATAATCCTGCATGCAGACAATGGATTAGCCATCATGTTAGAAAGCTTAAACTCCAAGTAATTATTTTAAGGACTATTATTTGATCTGTTGTACCTAAAGTTGTAAGTATAATAGAACCATGTGCATGTAGCTTTATCGAACAATGAAGCAAGTTTCTAAGATAGCAAAAACAAGTAGCACTGCATTCTGCCTCAGAGAAATCAAATAGCAGAAGTTCATATTATTGGGTTTGTCACATATCTGTTGAGCTCTGTTATATATTTGCCCTTAGAATTTCTTTTTAAAAGGTTGAGATTCTATAAAGAGTAAATAGCACTGCACTGAACTCTATAAAAATTGAGTGACAAAAGTAATGAAAGAGAATGTGATTTTTTTTGGTAGTCTAATTTTGTCTTTTTTATATTGAAGCTTTTGTTCGAAAAGATGCCTTGCCACTGGGAACATTTTCCAAGTACACCTGGCATATCACTAATATCCTGCAAGTTAAACAAATCTTAGATACTCCAGAGGTAAGAATGTATTTCTCCATAGTGGGAGGGTAGAGAGGGAAGCAAGTGTGGGGAAGTAAGTTTGTACCCATTCCCTGAGTTCAGATGCCAATGAGAGTTCCTTTTTTATGCTAAGATATTATTAAGGGCTGAGGATTTAGCTCAGTGGTACTTTGCCTGCCTCAAAAGGGCAAGGTCCTGAGTTCAACCCCAGTACTGAAAAAAAAAAGATATTATTAAGAAATAGTGTTTATATTTCTGATTCTGATTTTAGTGGGTATTTCCTCTTTTAAAAATGTCTTAAATTGGAGTACGATTTTTCTCTGCCTTTCGAATCAGGAAGCAGGATTTTTCCTATAATTTAAATAATGATTCCCTGATAGCTATAGTGAGCCCTAGATTAGACTGGCAGGCAGCTAGAAAGTGTATAAATAATTTTAGATGTCATACTATTTGTGAAGTCAGTGGCTCTAGTACAATTAAATATTCCTCTCCATACTGTAATTTTTTTTTTATTTTTATTTTTTACCATACTGTAATTTGATTCTCATTAGAGAAATGACCCTTAATTATTCTCCTTCACCAGGGCCCTTGTGCTTGTGAGGCAGGTATGGTGCCACTGAGTTAAATCCCTGGCCCACTTTTTTTTTTTTTTTTTTGAGACAGGGTCTCACTATGTAGTTCAGACTGGCTGCAAACTCATGGTGATCCTCCTACCTCTGCCTCCTGAGTGCTTGGTATTATAGGTGTGGGCCACTACACCTGGCTTTCAAATATATTTTTCAAGCATATCCTGAAAATTTGGGAAAGATTTACCCTTTTTAAAGTAATGGAATATTGTAGAAATATTGTAGAAATTTAGAATAATGTAATTTTTTTTTTTTGTACCAGGGATTGAACTCAGGACCTTGTGCTTTTGAGGCAGGCAGCAGCACCATTGAGCTAAATCCCCAGCCCAAGAATAATGTAATTTGATAAATTAAGATTAGCTCAATGGCAAAGCATTGTTATGTTCAGAAAAGAATAAGTTGTTCAGTGGCTACAGAACTTACATGTGAACCATAGAAAAACCTGTGCTGGCCAGGTGTGGTGACACATACCTACAATCCCAGCACTCAGGAGCTGAGGCAGGAAGATCTCAGTGAGTTTGAGGCCAGCTTGGGCTACATAGTGAGTTCAAGGCCAGCCTGAACTACATATCAAGACCTGTCTTTAAAAAACCCAAAACAAAACAAAAAAGCCTATGTTAGTGCTAATGACACATGGGGAACTTTTTTTATTTTTTTGGTACTACTCGGGATTGAACCCAGAGCTATGTCCCTAGCCCATTGTTTATGTTTTATTTTAAGACACTGAGCTACTAAGCTCCCCAGAGTGGGTTTGAACTTGAGCTCCTCCTGCCTGTGCCTCCCAGAGTGCTGGAATTACAGGCACATGCCTTCACACCCAGTTCTGCTGGGAGACTTTAAATGCATAGTGTCTTGAGGCAGCTGCTCACCTAGAATGAGTGACATTCAGGGAAACTCTGAAGCAACTCGGCAAAGGCAGGTGAAGGGAGAGAGCTAGTGATCAAAGAGCTTCTGCTGTTAGACATTATTTACCTTCATCACCTCTTCGGTCTCCCAGCGATGCAGGAGTATTAACTGTATTTTGCAGATAAGAAAACAGGCTCTGAGAAACTCAGTAACTTGTTCATAGTCATTCTGCTGTTTGGTAGCAGAGATACTGCTTTTTGGGTTAAGTTCTGTATGGCTTAGCCAAGAATGGTGCAGGGAGCTGGAGGTACTCTCAAAAGAGTATTTATAAGAATGCTGTCAGCAGAGCAGTCAGGGAAGGAATCAGACTGACTGTAGAGCAGGTCTGTACTGGTTGCACAGGTACAAGCTGTGAAAATCTAACAAGTTCAGTTGGTTCAGGTTTGGCTGGAGTTCAGATTAAGGAAAGCCATGAAAGGGAGAAACAGCAGAGTTGTTGACAGGATTTGCTTGGAAGTACAGAAGAAAGTTTTCATTAACTTAAGTGCACTTAACAAGAAAGAAGGGAAAAGAAAACACCTATTGCCATCCAAATATTTGTCTACTTTGAAAGTTTTCCCTGTTTCATCTTCTTTTGTTGTTGTTTTCTTGGTGTCCAGATGCCCTTGGAAATTACCCGTAGTTTTATCCAGAACCGAGATGGGACTTATGAGCTTTTTAAATGCCCTAAAGTGGAAGTAGAGAGCATAGCAGAAACCTATGGCCGCATAGAAAAGCAACCAGTGCTGCGACCCTTGGAGCTAAAAACTTTCCTCAAAGTTGGTAAGTGAATTTCAATACCCCATCTTACTTTGAGGGCCAGTTCTGCTCATTGCACTGTGAGGCTTTGGATCTTGACCCTAATCCAAGGAGACACATTCATTTTATAAAAGCAGTTGTGCTTTCAAAATAAAATTATAGAAATAATATGTATTCACTGTGGAGAAATCAGATTTCAAGATGGAGTGCAAAAGACAAAAATTAAAGCCACCTGTAATCTACCCACCACATAGATTATACACCACTGTTAAGATTTTTTTTTTTTAACCACTGTTAAGATTTAGTTATTTACCCTTTTACTCTTTTCTGTGCATCAAAAGAGTTCTCAAAACACAGGATCATATCTCTGCTGGTTTTTTCACTTAACAGTACAGCAGTACCGCTTTCCATGTCTATCTTCAACATTATTTTTTAAAACTTTTTTTATTGTTGTAAGCTGTCATAGCAGAAAATATACTATTTTAACTGCTTTTAAGTGTACTGTTCTCTAGGACACTGACATCATTACATAACCATCACCACCACTGACCTGCAGAACATTTTCATCATCCTCAGCTGCAACCTTATATCCATTAAGCAACAACTTCCCACACTTGCCTTGCTCCAGCCCCTGGCAACCACCATTCTACTTCTACCTATGAATTTGGCTGCTCTCAGCACCTCATATAAGTGGAATCATATAATACTTGTCCTTTTGCAATGTGGTTTACTTGCTTAGGTTCATCCATGCTATAGAACATGTCAAAATTTCTTCTCTTTTTAAAGCTGAATTACATTCCCTTGTCTGTACATACCACTTTTCTGTTTATCCATTCATCTGTGGATGAACACTTGGGTGAATAACACAACTGTGAATAACTTACTGTTTTGTTTCATTTTGTTTTATGTGGTGCTGGGGATCGAACTCAAGGCCTTGCATATGCTAAACACACTTTACCACTGAGCTATATCCACAGTCTACATTGTTTTATTTTTATTTTATTTTTATTTTTATTTTATTTTATTTTTTTTGGTACTGGGGATCGAACTCCAGTCCTTGCACTTGCAAGGCAGGCGCCGCAACCACTGAGCTAGATCTCCAGCCCCTTTGTTTTATTTTTTAACAGCTTAATAAAATTCATTCATTTTGGAGTGCCACACTATAATCTGTCTTAAACTTTTTGCTTTTAGTTAAAACAGTGCTATAATTAGCTTCCTCTTACATAAGCCTTTTATATCAATTATTTCTGTACTGAAGATATTCTTTGGGATAAATTCCTAAAGGTGAAATTAGAAGGTCAGAGGTTATATAATTTTTAAGACTTTTTTTGGTCAAACTGCTCCCTAGAAGCACTGTAATATCATAAAACTTACATTGCTAGCTGAGTATAAAAGAGTTCCTCTTTTTTGAATTTTTGTTAATATGATAGGCAAAAGATGTTTTCTTCATTTGCATTTCCCTCATTATTAATGAGGGTTAACTGGACTGGAGGTATAGCTCAGTGGTAGAGCACTTCTCCAGCATGTGCAAGGTCCTGGGTTCTGCTGGGTATAGGGACACACACCTATAACCTCAGCAATTCGGGAGGCTAAGGTAAGAGGATTGTAGCAGTTTCGGGCCAGTTGGGGTTACGTAGTGAAATCAAGGCCAGCCTGAATTACATAGCAAGACCCTGTCTCAAAAAATAATAACAATTTTTCAGCACTGGGGATTTAACCCAGGACCTTTTAACCAAGTTACATCCGTAGCCTTTTTTCATTTTTTTGTTTTGAGACAAGGACTTATTAAGTTGCTAAGTTGCTCATTCTGGGCTTTAGCTTTTGATTCTCCTGCCTCAGTCTCACAGTGTGCTGGAATTACAGGTATGCAGCATTATGCCTGCCTTATGTACTAAGTTTATAATGACAACTATAACAACCAGTGCTTAAGGATTAACTACTTTGTGCAAGGTATTATTTTAAATGGTTTACATGTACTAATTACATGCATTAATTACTTATCTACCCACTGAGAGGTAGACTCTGTGATCCCCATTTACAGAAGAAGAAACTGAGGTGAGGTTAAGTACAGCAAGCCACAGCTAGTAAGTGCTGAGGCTGTTTCAACCCTAGGCAGTTCTGGACTCCAGAGCCTGCACTCCTAACCATTAGGATTCATGTCCCTTTCCACTGATTAGGTTGTAATCCCTTAAAGGGCAGTGAACTGTGCCACTCTGGTTCATTACTGCACCCCAAGATGGCTTGGTGTTTGATTATAATGGGTACTAAGTAAAGAATTGAGTGAATGATTGAATGCCAGCCATAGTTGGTGTTTTCCCTTTTTCTTTCTTGTTTTTTTTTGGTACTGGGGATCGAACTCAGGTCCTTGTGCTTGCACAGCAGGCAGTGAAACCACTGAGCTAAATCCCCGGCCCTCCTTTTTCTTTCTTTTTTTTTTTTCTTGCGTTATCAGTCACTCATAGTTTTGGTTACTTTAGCTTTGTAACCTATGTAGCAGGCCCCTCCTTTCTGTAATTGTGCATTTATTATTCTAGGAGAAACTGAGAATTTATAGTTACTTTGTCAGGTTCTTCCGAATATATTTGTAGCTATATTATATTTTTGATGTAGTGTAATTTTATATTTCTGGGTATAATTTTATATTTCTGGAATAAATCCTGCTTGGTTCTTTTTTCTTTCAATATATGCATTATTTTCAGTACTGGGGATTGAATCAGGGCCTGGTACATGCTAAGCAAGTGCTCTACCACTGAGTTACATTACCAACCCAACTTTTTAAGAGTTTTGATTTGTCTCTTCCTAACTTTATTGGAGGCTGTGTTTTTGGGTTTGGTAACAGTTGTATAGAAAATTATTTTGGGAAACATTAGATCAAATCAAATAGTTTAAAAAATATCTGTTCCTTGACTATTTGAAATAATTTATTCTCTGAATCTAACCTTTTCAGGGATTTCTCTTAAAAACTTACTCAATTTATATTCATAGTTTCTATCTTAAGTTTATTTAATTTATATATTTCCAAAATTCATGTATTTTCATTCCAGATTTAAGTTTTGTACATTTTTATGTTTGAGTATAGATGATAATGTCATGACTTTTATTATTTATTTATTTATTTATTTATTTTTTTGTCATGACTTTTAAAACTGCAGATTTTCCAAATCTGTAGTTTTGCATTCTGGTTGAAATTTGTCTATTTTTTTTCCCAACTCAGAGAACTGGCAATTATTCTAAGTATCTATTTAAGATTTTGTGTGTGTGTGTGTGTGTGTGTATGCATTTTGTTTTGTTTTGTTTTTTGAGGCAGGGTCTCACTATGTAGTTCAAATTGGCCTTGAACTCACTGTGTAGCCCAAGCTTATCTTGAACTCACAGCAATCCTCCTGTCTCAGCCTTTTGACTGCTGGGAGTACAGGCATGTGCCACCATGCCTAGCTATTTAAGTTATTTTCTGCTTTTGTGTGCAATAATTTCTCCTCTCAGAATTTTTCCTAATTCATAAAATTGTTTTATTTTCATGGCTTTTATTTATTTATTTATTTATTGGTACCTGGGATCAAACTCAGGTCCTTGCGCTTGCAAGGCAGGCAGCAGAACCACTGAGCTAAATCCCCCGGCCCTTCATGGCTTTTAAAATGGGGCCAGGGATTTAGCTCAGTGGTTCCACTGCCCGCCTCGAAAGTGTAAGGACCCAAGTTCAATCCCTGGTACCAAAAAAAAAAAGCTTTTTAAGCATTTTATGCAATATTGTTAGTATATCCAACTTATGGACAGATTTTTGTATTTAAACACTTTATTTTATATATATATATATATGTATTATATATAG